CTTTCCAGGTACAAAAAGGTCACCATATATACAAATCACAAGCACAAATGAGAATCTGCTCATGCGCAGAAACCTCTCTCTCTCTCTCTCTCTCTCTCTCTCTCTCTCTCTCTCTCTCTATCTATCTATCTATCTATCTATCTATCTCGCTCTCTCAATCTGTCAGTCAGTCTGTCTATCTGTCTCTCACTTTCTATCACACTCTCTCCAAAAAACAACAAAAAACAAGATGTAAAAAAATATTTAAAACTGAGTATTTTACGAAGCCGCACAGCAGCCAGTGCACAGCCCCTGTGAGAAGCCAGAAAGCCTCCCCTCTGACAGACGTTCCATCGTGGCGACTATTGTGCGACTTGGAAAGGGCTAGAAATAGGAACAGGAGCACAAGGTGAGTGCCCAAAAAGCGAATCGAGACGTCAACGAGCAATTTCATTCCCTGCTTTGGAGAGTCGCAAGTGACAACCAGGCGGCGCAAGTCTCAAAAGGGAAAAAATGTAATTGCATAAGTTGTACACCCCCGCAGACACGATTTACAACTGTTTTTGTTTTTGAAAGTCTTTTACGGCGTTCGCAACTGCATAAGGTCATATGAGTGCGAGGGAAACATTTAGCATTTTCAGTCCGGTAGGTGGGAATTAATTTTGAATTTGCTCGGGTGGCGGCCGAAGCCTACTCTTACCGATTTTAGGACCACCTAACGTGCGCAACTTGTACACGGGACCTTTGAGAATTTTTTTTTTTTTGGCCCGTATCCGAAAAAGCAAAGTGTTCCATCTTACCTACCCTAAGATCAGGGGTGTGGCTGAAAGATAGCAGTATGAACGAGCCAAGGAGTAGCATTAGATAGGCAGAAGAAAGAGTCAGGAGCCAAAAGGAAGGGGTAGGGGGGGGGGGGGCAGTTGAAAGTGAAGACGAAAGCAGGCGACAGAACATAATTAGAGAGCAGGGAAGGAGGTGAAAAGATAAAGCTTTTACTTAAGAGAAGAGCTTTTCCGCCGCTGCAAGGATTCGAACCCGGGACCTTTTGAATAAAAGGTGAACACCATAACCTCTAGACCACGAGAGCCCCCTGATTTAGAACTGTTAACACAGTGGGCTGCTTCGAATCTCACGGTCAATGCCAACCTGGGCTAAACGATCATTGCATTGGTTTAACACCCCGTTCAACCCTTTAAGACTATTTATGAGGCGGGACCTCCGAATTCAACGTCCAATTCCAATAGAACCAAGTCAAACGAGTGGAGAGCCTTAAAACCAACTCAAAGGACCCCCCAACCCCAGCACGTCCAACGTCTCCAATTCAGTGGAGAATTTTTTTACAGGAATTAGGTAAGTGGGTGGAAATTATGGGATCTAATCAAACAAACCAAAGTATGAGAGAAGAAAAAAGAAAACATTTGAACCCGAGGAGCGTGGGCGGTTGGCGGGTGTTCTGGTGCGGTTTGCTCCTTCTTTCCTATCAAACAGCTATCGTCTTTATTTCCCCTCCTTCCTTTTTGTGTTTGTTACTCCCTTGTAACACCTCTAATCTCCGGCGGGCACTTATGTGACCTAGTTGTGTTGCAAGTGCCGTAAAACTCTTACAAAAACAAACAAACAACCGAACCAGAGAAGCCTACATCACATTCAAGCATGACAGTAAATGACTTGTTTGTTTGAATAAAGAGGTGCACACTGACACGATAACGGTCAAGTAGTACAGAGACACGTTATGACAGACAGACACAAACTACAGGAGGGGAAATTAAAGAAGCAAGACCTACTAGTGACGCCTTCCAATCACCCGCGAAAGTAAGTGAGCTGACGAAGCCATCTTTCCGTATTCCGTACTATTTCCGCGAGGCAGGGATATCAATATTCGCACATGAATTTTGAAAAGGCCGGAAATTACAGGGCCCCTGGACCCAGGGCTCAGTTAATCCTGCTACTAAAAGTAAAGAAACCCACAAGTTGTACACCCTTTAATAAAAAGCACATTGACAAGTAACAGGCCATTTAGTGCAATGAAGGAATACAAAAGAAAAAGCAAGAAAGATACAACAAAGAAAGAGAAAGGAAATAAGACCCCCCCCCCCCAGTAGCGCACTCCAGCATGGCGTATAAAAGACACCAATTTCGTATCGGAGAAGAAAACCAACAAAAAATAATAACCACGTAATGATGAGCCCAGAGAGCACAGATTTTCATTTTTGTAAAAGTTTTACGGCACTTGCAACACAATAAGGTCATACAAAAG